AGTGAAATTTCATACTTTCAAGGTGTGATCAAAAATAAATGTTTAAATTTTTTTTCAATAACTTTTGTCATTTCAAAATAAAGACTCCTTTTCCGAAGCGGACTTGTATTTTGATTTCCTTATAAATATTAACAGAATCTCGGATATAACAGAGCGTAACTATGTTATAGCGAGGCACCCTGGGAGCATTACGCGAGTACTTTGATAGCTTTGTTAAACAAAGGCCGTTATGATAATTTTGTAATAGTCTTTCTATGAAGCCCATTTGAATCGATAATGTATATTTATCAGGGAAATTGCGTTTGTGAACTAGGTAAATACTAAATCGAAAGCCTGAAAAGATTTTATTACTTACAAAATCAACACAATCTATATAATTTTTGAAGTTATACTTCTCTTGGCACGTTTGGAAAAATTAGAGAGAGATGAGAGATTTTTACGATGCCGCGCGCATCTGTCAGCACACCGACAGCCAAAAAACAACATGATGAAGTTAGCTGATAACTGTCAACTGTCTCCCCGGTTCCCGTGAAAACTCATAACTATATTCAAAGTAGTTTCTCAAATATTCATAAATCTATAACACGTGTTTTATTATTTATATCAGTGGAGTTATTAACAATAAATTGTAATTAACTATTTTTGTTCTGTGACGCCAAAGAAGTAGGTACGTGCGCACATAAGTACTTACACACACACACACATTTTTTTAAAATTGAAAGAATAATGAAAATAATGTACAAAAAGTTAAACTTTTTCTAATACATATATATAGCCTAAGGAAACTTATATTAAAACGAAAGTTAACATTTACCTTACGATATATTTCCAAACGTTAAATCACATTCAATTCACATGGGTGTGTTAAAATAAAGCAAAGTGAGGACGCTTTACTCAAAATTCCCCTAAACACTTATCCTGTTACAATTTTCACGTCGCACAAACACATGTAATACAGTCTTTATATACAATAATAAAATTAAAGACAATATATAACGAACGTCTCGAGTAAATCTGTAACATGAAACGGCCTCCTGTTTCTAGGGCGGCACTTTGAATCACCATTTCACTGCCTATTATTACCCACAAACGCTAAATCTTTAGATAACGTGTTTTCACGACGTGGGAGGGCCATCAAAATCCCTTTCTATGTTTAAAATAAAAATTTAATAACGACGGTAACACATTATGTCTATTTTATGCCCTCCATCGCAATGCACCTACTTCTTATTTATCATTTTACAACCGTATATTACAATTTAGTGCTTTCCATTCGTGGGTTTTATATTAAATTTATAGTAAGAACTATAGAAGACTCTATTGTAATATAAAAATATTGTCTTATAATATGAAAGTTATTTTGCATTTTACCACTTTCAACTACAAGTATAATAGTTAAACTCAAGCATTTGAGCAAGTGTTTGAATATTTTATCAAAAGCAACATTAAAACAATCGTTATATTTGCCGAGCCTTCGCTTTCATTAGCTTTATTTACTTAGGAAAGCAGGGGATCCCGGTCCTGGTTCTAGGAATATTATTAGAACGACCGACGAACTAACTCGTGGCTCGCAAGTTATTCTCTGAAGGGAACGGAGTAAGATTCTGAACGATATTGTGGAATAAATTTAATGTTAAAAGAAGGCTGAAATAAAAATTGTAGATGTAAATTAAATCTGGCCAGAATCCCAAGCGGTGTAAGTCCGAGCTTTGACTTAACAGATTTTTTGTTCATTTCGTTGCAATGGTGGCAGAAACAATTTTTGTTTAAAATATTATGTTAAGAAAATTTTTAGTTCAAATTATTGTAGCAGATTTTCATAATTTTTATTTCACTGAAAGCAGCAAATAGGTCAACTTAGTGCGATTTCAAGTCTTACTACTACGACACTATTATAAGGGATTTATTTTATTCTATTTTTTAAAAGAGGAAGTGCTTTCGATCGCTTATAAATATTTTTCCAAAAACTCTTACAAAATATTTTGTCTCCAAGCCACAACTTAGCAAAGGCTCTATAAAAATATGTAAAATTATATAACGTATGTTGGTGAGTATTTCATATTATAGAAAAAAAACCTTTCAAAAAAGGCGAATACGAGTATTTGTACAGAAAAAAAGTTGTTTAATTTCTTACCTATACATATAATAAAATTGTAACTAAGCCGAATCTGTACATTAAATATTTGATGGAAAATCTTATTGAAATGAACATTATTATCGATACAAAGGCCGAATCTATAGTTTTTAGAATTTTTGTCTGTCTGTCTTTCTGTCTGTCTGTCTGTCTGTTACCGCATCACAGAAAAACCGCTGGAGAGATTTTGATGAAATTTGGTAGTCTTGGTCTAGTGGTTTTTCCGTGATGCGGTCACAGACAGACAAAAATTCTAAAAACTATAGATTCGGCGTCTATATTTATAATAATGTGTATTTCAATAAGATTTTCCAAAAAATATTTAATGTACAGATTCGGCTAACTTACAATTTTATTATATGTATAGACGAGAGAATAATAAATGTAGGTAGGTACATAGATGCATAAAAATTAATAAAACATTCATACTAGCCACTCTATGCAGTTCTTCTCTATGTGGGGTGCCAAGCAAGAACCTGTGTTACTTCAGGTCTTTAGGAGTAACAACCTTACAAACATACAAATACTCACAATTATAATATTAGTCCAACTATGTACACTAGGATCTAAATAAATTATTAATAACCACTAGCGGTACGTTTTAAATAGATATAAATAGTTTTTAGCCAGCGTTAGCCATATAAATTATAATATTTTTTTTCGTAAATTTTTCCTATTTTTATTTATTAAAACCTAAGGAACATACGAAAAAAATGCCGAATTGGTCCAGACATTCTTGAGTTATGCGCTTACCAACATTCATTTTTATTTATATAGATTACAGTAAACAAATATCTAAAACATTTAGCTACATAAAGATAAAGTTATACGATCAGAACAGCGAGGGCACGTACCATAACAGAAATTTGCAACAGAAGCTTATTATTATGGAGACCGTAAATCTGTACAATAAATCACATAACTATTACGCCAATTACGCGGCGGTCAGCGCCCCTTAATCCTCTGAAGGCCCGACTTAGTAGAAAAAGGGCCAAGGATCGACCCAACTTATTCTTAGCCATGATTCAAATTGATTTATGTCTTAGAGCACAACGAAAAATCTTACAATTAGAAAGCAAGTTATATAATCAAGGACTCGTACTATAAATCATAACTTCTGCTTTAATCTTAATGTTTAGTTGGTTTCAGGTTTAGTTTAGAAACTATCGAGGACCTTTTTAAAGACTTATGATTTTACCTACCTAATTAAGGGTTAATTTTAAATGAGTAATGTCAAAGAACAAGTATAAAGTTTGAAAATGATAATATCTGTTATGTGATTTTTTTGTAAAATTATGTGTAAAATTGAAACTCCTAGAGAAAGTTCTATTTATATTTTGCTAGTTTTTGGTATTTTGTATTATGGCTTGCATTATAAATATAGCTCAAGCTAGACGATAAGGCAAAAAATTAAAGAACTTTAAAACATTTTTCTTTTAGGTACAAAGGAAGGCTCTGAATCATTGACTTGTTTAGTTTATTTATTATTTGTTATTCAGTCTGTTATAATAACATACGAATTCTGTGAGACAGCCAGAGCAGTCATAAGGTTCTAAGTGAATCCTTTACATACGAAACCCTGGACATAATTTATTTTTGTTTTTATTCACCTAATAGAAAATTAAGATGATGTGTCACTACATCACTCCATCGCGTACTTAGAAATATGTGTGTAAATATGTAACTCATATAAGTTGCCATTATATTATGTAGCAAAACTGAAAATTCAAGCCAGTCACAGTAAGTTCCTGTCAAAAACAAATAGTTAAAAACAATGTCACCTGGAATTAGGTGCATTTTTAAAATAGCTTATTGTGTTGAACGTATTCTACTTATTTGAATCCCCATTTTCACCCCCTTAAGGGATGATTTCCGGGATAAAAAGTATTCTATGTCCTTCCCAGGGTCTCAAACTATCTTCTTACCAAATTTCATCTAAATCAGTTTAGTAGATCCAGAGATTACCCCTTACAACGTCACAAACTCACAAACTTCACCTCTTTATAATATTAGTATAGATTTTTATTAGTATGTCCTTCTATCACGCAGGAAATGAGCAAAAGATCAATGGATGTCAGTATGTCGCTAGTTACATTTACTTGTTATTATTAAGTTAATACAAAATTGAAAACGACAATGTAGTTGTAAAATTATTTAATTATTTACAAATTTTATTGCGCTTTGTTTGGTTATAACTTGTGGTTTAAGTTCAAATTAGATTTTCTGAAACCTAATACGCATGAAAACCATTGTTTTTAGTACACATAAAATAATATGTTATTTTATAATAAGTTGTCAAAAGGATTTGTGGCTGCAAGTTAGAGCACGCACGACTGCCCTGATTTCCGTGATATTGATCTTTGTCGGAAGCCGCCTTTGCCAGATGAAAAGTAACAGAAGGGACCCGATACCGTTAGTATTTGACTGCATAAAGGCTTAACCCTCTTAAATGTAGTTGCATTTCTTACTAAGTTTAAAATTTGTTTTTCCAAACTTTCCATCGTACGCTATGACACCGTCTTTCTACGTACAGACATACACCTTTTGCAGTACGTATTTGTTGATATTACTCAGATCAAAGTGACAAAGTTATTTTCTTAACAAAATTTCTTTTTTTTATTATAAACATATATATAAACATTTTTGGCGACATTATAATATTTCATCACCACCGCCCGGCCATCAATCATAGGTAATCGGAAGCTATCAATGCAGAAATGAGTATAATTTGCTGTGATCGCCACATTTTATAGTTGTCCCAAATTGCTGTCATTACATGCTACATGACACAATGCGGCAGACGGTAATGAGAATTATTAATGTTACTCTTGCAAAACCACAGATAAAGCGTAGGCGGCTTAAACTAAGCGACACGCTTTGCCTTCTTCAAAGGAGACCTAATAATCGATTTTTCGTCTCGTCTACGTTTTTTCAAAGGTGCGTCACATTTTATGCTGGCTCCTATTATCAAACGTTCCATCACTCGATACTGTTTGTCAGCAAACGGTATTAAAATTGCAAAATGGACACCCAATTCTTTTGCTTTCAACAAATCTTCCGTTAGCACTGAATTGTCACAAAGACGAGTTTTAATATATTTTAAAATGTGGTCCTTTTCTGAATTGTTGAGTGTTAATAAAGCTGCGATTGCTATTTTATCGTAGTCCTCAGAGTCTCTGTGTTCCACTTCGAGTTTTATATCTTTTTCGTCAGTAGGGTACATTATTTCCTGAAGTTGAAACCGGTTTGGTCCAGCTCCTGTCATTACTGCGCATCTGAAGTTAGTTTGCTTGCCAACGACTCCGTTAAGCCAATCGGAATTCCGTTCTAGAGCACCGAGAAAAAAGCTCATGAAATCGCTAACTTCTTTTTGCTTTTTGTAAGAAACGATAGCCGCTAAGGCTACTTCGGGAGCATCTTTACTTCTTGGACCGCTGGTGCTAGACTCGTTGGCAGACTTGGTAAGAGGTTTTTTGCCAAACATTTTGCTTCTAAAACTTTGAGACATTGTTTATTTATTACTTAGGATTTTGGATTTGAAAACACTAAATTTTTAAACTGAAAAGTATGAAATGGCATTACTCTGTCATTTAGTGCGTATTATTACAATGAAGATTTATCAAAATAGGTTTTTTATTAATTAGGAAAATTTTAGTAATTTGAAGCCAAAGTTGTAATTACTTTAATAAGTTTACATAATTATTCCACCTACGTCCTTTTATAAGATCCAACTTCAACCGATACAAGCTAGAATAACATCAATGTCCACATCAACGGTGGCTATATTTTATAACTGACGAAATCTAACGCCGGTAAAAGCAATGAATAATCGCTTATCGGAATATATAACATATCAAATATTTGTCGTCGAGTAAAATAAAAAAAGGAAAACTTAGGTTGAACATTTTTATATACCTAAGTATATACAATAAAAATATATAATTAATCGGGAAAAAAATAGCTGTCTTAGAAAAAGGTACATTTATTGTGAACTAATTTTTAATATTGGCAATAGTGTTGTATTATTGTGCATAATAATATGTATAATATGTAATATTTAATCACGCGGCAAGTTAAATGAGATTTTTATTTCTAAAGTTATCTATAATAGACTGTATGATTTTCTGATGTCATTTATGCATTAGTAGCATTTGTAACAATATTTATATACTAACCTTGACTAAACAGAAAAAACGACAATACAGCCTTTTTATGACCTCACTTTAAAACCTGAATCCGTTCTAGTATTATGTATTGAGCATAATGTCACAGTTAATATTAATGAGTTGCCAATAAATTGTATTTTAGTTCTTATTTTATTTTATAATGCATATTAAGTATAGATTTTGGATTTAAAATAAAAAAATATAAATTTATATTGAGGGTATATTAAAAACTGATTAAAAGTAAATAGCACATTTTTGTAATGAAATCGCTCGTATTATTTTTTATAATATGCGGTACACAATATTTAAAATATTTTTCATAATAATATTACTATATGAAGAGCATCGCAAATATTTGGAACATTATAAATATTGTCATAAATTACATTGAGTCTGTCAATTAGATCTGGTCTGGCGTCTCAATTGGCAAAAATTGCCAACTGTCTTTCAATAAAGTATTGTGAGGAACACTGTTGGTTATCGAGGTCACCGTCGCCTATCAATGAATGCAGTGGCGGGCGTGAGTGTCAAGAGGTTAGGACGACCCAAAACAAAAATGTTAACTTACCAAACTAGCATTCTCACTAAATATCCCGTTAAAAGATTCGCTTGAACAATCAACGGCAATGCTGTCTCGACGAATACACACGCACACATGTAACAATCGTAGTAAACGTCATAACCAAAGTTAACATCGTTAATTATGCCATTTAACACCGTTTTTAGACACCACCGACGATACACAGCACTGATAACAACTTTATTAATTATATATATAAGAAACAAGCGTCAAAAAGACCTGTGACCATATAAAAAACATATTTTTTTGGCAAAGACAACCTAATCACCACTCCTTTTCTCTCACAGATTTCTATGATAGCGAACAGCTGCGGTGCGTGGTTGAACCAAAACAAATACCACTAGAGACATCTGTTGACCGCTTCCTGGAAACATTGTTAACTAATTACACCTCTGTTTAAGAAAAAGTTCACACTTCTTCACTAGATGGCGCTTGGTATGTTAAAGTTAGAATTTAAAATAAATATTTATTTATTTATTACTAGATTTTATTACAATTATGTATTATGTATAAATTTATATTTTAGTAAATATAATTATTTAAATATAATATTATAAAACCTAAAATATTATACATGTGTGTATTATTTATTTTAAGATGTATGTTCTGTAGTACTGTTTGTTTCCCTAAAATAAATAAAAATAAAATAAAATGTATTTACTTTGTAATTACAAAATGATAGAAAATAAACCTTAAACTTATGTCTTTTAATTTAAAATTAAAATGAGAGAATACAAAAGTTAAAGAAAAATGTTTAATACTTAATGGTAAATGGTAAAACATTATTTCGATTGTTTAAATTTTCCTAGTTACAAGTTACAACTTGTATTTATGTGTATTCTATTATATTTGTAAATAATATCGTCTAAAAAGCAAAATGAATACTCCGCCGTAACAGTGTAATACACTGCCGTGACCAGGATTCGAACCTGGGTTACTACGGCCACAACGTAGGGTCCTAACCACTAGACGATCACGGCTATCGGAGTTCTACTCTTATGTCTGAAAATACGCTACTGTTACTTATACGTATTTATATAATATATAAATATATATGATTAACCATAGCGTATTTATATGTATACATATTTTTTGGTAAATCTTATTCAAATATACATTATTATCGATACAGAGGCCGAATCTATAGTTTTTAGAGTTTTTGTCTTTCTGTCTGTCTGTTACCGCACATCACATCACAGATCACAGAAAAACCACTTTTTACCGCGGGAAAATATCTCATTTCTGAGAAAAAATACAAAAACTGCATTGTAAGAGTATACTAATATGTAAAACCTAAGAATTTGGTTTTTGGTCATCTGAACGCGGGCGGAGCCGCGGGCAATGGTAGTTTATATGTATATATTTAAAGCTGATCTTAATTTATATAAAGAAAAATGAATCACTGAAGTGGATGAACGCGGTTCTGTTGAGTGCGCCAAATTGCTTTTTTTGTGTTTATTAAAAAAAACTATCTTTTCGGATTATTTCGCGGATTTATTTTGTTTATTAACGCAATGGAAACCAAAACAATTATTTTGAGAATTTTTGTCTATTTGCCTGTGCTTTTGTGCTCGCTAATCTCAGTAACGACTTAACCGATGTCGATGTGGTTTTCACTAATGCATTTTGGTAAGCCTCACTTAATTTGTTTTATTTCAATCGGTCCATATATAAAAAAGAATCAATGTAAAGAATCAACAGGGACGAACGAACCCGAGCGAAGTGCTAACTTATTGTCCTGGATTAACAAAACGAGCGAAGTTACTAACAAGAATTATTTAAAGAGTGGTATTTGCGATGTTATTTGATATATTCGAGATTGGTTTAACCTTTTTTTCAGGTAGACATGTATTTTTCGCATAATGACCATACCCCTTGAGTTGATAAACCTAACAAGTACAACACACCATACAATATTTTCCCTTTCTCTTTTAACACTCTACAGACTTTTCAGTTCTATTCAGATTGAAATAACAATAGATGTTTTATGATCTACGATAAAATCAACAATTTATTTATACAAACAGCGATTAAATTTTCACTTAGATAACAAGAATTTGTTTAAGTAAATTCCAGTACAGATTGTTGAACATCCATTGTTATTTCAAACTGAAATTATAATATATTTATTATGTAATATATAGTTCAATGTGTTAATATTTTGTGTTCCGCACAAAACAATCCGGTACCTTATATTAGGTAGTAGGTACCAGTATAAACCTAAGTATCAATTATTAATGTTAATGCTCAATAACAATAATTTATGAAGATGTAAATTAATTATTATCATTATTGTTATTCATGCAAATATAATAACAATTTTATATTAAAAACATAAAGTTTATCTGCTTTTTACAGATCGGGCGGAATCAATGGCGGTCCCATGTGATCCCAATGAAACCATGGTTATTTCAAGAATAGCTAACTACCTGATATTACATTTGCAAAGTAGTCAGCTTGCAAATAACAATTATTTAATTATAAATTGTAATTTTAAGTAAAAAAAGAAACAAATTTAATTATTTTAGCAGTGACATCTAGTAGATTAAAGAGATAACTTTAGTTTCTTAGTTCAAACAGTACGAAATAGATGTCGCTGTAACATTTGTAGCGGATCCTGAATCGCGCTGGCAAGATGTTCTATCGTTTAATGACCTCTTCCACATTTCACGTTTCAAGTATCGCTTCTCGGCCTTTTGGCTAAGATCAAAGTGTAGTATCTGTTCTTTTCAGCTTAATATCTGAAAGTTCCCGCACTGCGGGACCAGTATATTAAACTGATTTTTGTAAACCGACGGGATGTTCGGGGCTCGCTCCACTCCCGTCACGGGTCGGCCCGGCATTGCAGTGCCGCCGGGATCGGCCCACATATTATACATTGCTAATATAACATTTGGGTCAGTTTGTAAAGATCCTACTTGCTGCGCCAGCGTGATCGGTCCCAGATTCGTTGACGTTGACCATAAAACATAAATTTCTCGTAAACGTCTAAACATTTCAATTTCATAACAAAATTGGTTTGTTATATAAATTTCGAAGATTATATTCCCCTAGTTTCATTAAAGTAAAAAAATATATTGCAGAACTTCAAAATTAAAAACCAAGAAAAAAAGTAAAAAACAGCTTTTTTGAGGTTATTGTAAAAAGTATCATCTATAAAAGTCGTAGATTTTTACTAGAACTACAACTTTTCCAAAGAACATTTTTCGATAGGATGTCACAGTAAACCGGAAATTGAAAAAAAAAATTTTTAACAGTTTGCATCCTTCCATTTTTCGGAGATAGCTGGACAGCGGGGGCATTTTACGGATTTTTATTCCATAAATGCCTGCTAACGTTTTAAAGCCATAAAACTTCAGGTTTGAATTATTTTTTCTCTCTTAAAAATAAACGGATTCCCATCGGTCTAAAAGCATAAAACTTTTCTCTTAGCGGCTTACCTCACTTCGCTCAGATGCGTCCTTCTAGGTACTCGTAGTAGGTACGTTTTGAATAGATATAAATAGTTATTGGGAGTGTACCTTAGAAGAAAAACTTATGCTATTGCAGATTTTTCTTTAGGCCTTTTTTTAAGACCTACAATTTTCTAGCACATTCCTTTGATGTACTTTTTAAGGTTTAGCCATATAAATTTATAATGACGACTCCATAGAACTAAACTGTTTCTGCATGAATTGAGGATGTATATTTAATGTCTTGATTGCAAATTTTTGCAATTTTTTTTTTGGGACATTAACA